CCTCTGCAGCCTGGTCTCTGTCCCTTCTTCCCTGGGGAGCCCCACACCTGCATTTGGAGCCCTGTCCCAGGAGCCTGCCTCCTGTGGGGTGGGCCACCCCATCCTCCCATCCCAGACCGCCCTTGCCCAGTCCTGCACCTCTCCCACCTCTGTGCTGGGGAGTGTGGGAACGGGTGAGGACTCCAGGTCCCCTCCTGCAGGCCCTGGCTCCAGGGGAAACCACCCCAATCCCTCTCCTAGGCCTTCCAAGATGAGGATAGACGCTTTCATGCAATTAACCAGGATCATGGGCCAGTGTCCAGGGCTTTAAAGAGAATGAGGAAGCAAAAGGCGTCACCGCCCCAACCCGCAGATCAGATCTTGGGAGGAGAGCTGATCTCCTCTTTGCAGCTGTGGGCCAGGTCCAACCCACAGGTCCTGCCAGAGGCTGCTGCTGCCCAGCCTCGCTCTGCCTGGCTCCCCTCCTTCCCGGGCCCAGCCCCTGCCCTGCCTGTGGGCTGCTGTCACTTCCTTGGGCTCGCTCTGCCCAGCTAGTGACTGCAAGCCCACACAGGAGCAGGCGTGAACCCCTGCACCCCACCCAGCCCCCGCCACTGCACCAGGAGTTTGCGCTTGCAGTCCGCAGCGTGTGGTTTCAGCGGCAGCGCTTCCTTTCTTGAGTGCTGATTTTCTCTTAATAAAGAAACCAGACACTGAGCTGAGTCTGACTTGGTCAAGCAAGAGGGAGCCGCGGGGTCGCCAGGCACTCTGGGTTGGTCAGCTCAGTACCCCATGGCTGCTCCCCTCTGGGTGGTGCCTAGGTAGCCCAGGCTTCAAGGCGGGCCTCTGCAGGAACCGCGCCCCAGCTGCGCAGAGCAAGAGCTTCACACCACAGCCCAGGGAGCAGGCCAGAGTGGACCCAGGCACCCGGAAGCTCACTGAAGGGGACCTTTAGGCCTGAGGACAGTCTGAAGGCTTAGGAGCCCACAGGGGTCCAGATCTCCAGCCACCCCCCACGCACATCCCCACACATGGAAATCACAGAGAGAGAAGGAAAGTGAGAAAGCAACCCACCAGGTCTGGGACTTAAACCAGTCAGTCACGCGGGAGTGTCCAGCACCTTAACACCACACCACCTGCCGGTCCCCTACCCGACCTCTTTAAAGAGAGGGACCAGCAGATGGTGTAATGGTTACGTTGCTGGACTCCCATGTAGCCAACCACAGTTCCAGTCCTGGTCCCGGTGGCTTAAAACTCACGTCAGGCATATATGGGTGTGTGTCCAAACTCCTAAGAGGAGAATGGAGGAGAAGGGACTGCAGCGTGGCCAGGCGCCCTAGAGGGTGATTTCGCGCTTTCTATCTCTCTCTCCGATGAGCGCACCCACCCTACAGGAAAATCTCTACCTAAAAGAAGGAGAGAGAGATTCAGTCACAACTGTGCAAAGACTTTAATTGTAACTGCAGGGTACAGGTATATCCCCCGTGTGGCCTTATCTAGAGACAGCCATGGAATCCACAGGTGGGCCCAGGAGCAGTTCCTGGGGGTGTGTGCTGACTCTGGCACCAGCCCGCACCTGCACCTGCCCTGACAGCCCGGCTTCTGGAGGCGTGGCCCTATTTCTTCGGTACCTGTAACACCTGAGTCGGAGGAACTCGCAGTTCTGAGTTTATCTGGAAGAAAAAGCAGACAGCTGTTACCCTTTGCCCAGGGGCCTCCTCCTTCAGGCGCTCTGTGGGCGGGGTGAGCACCTGCCAGCCTCCAGGTCCCTGCGAGCAGCTCGTCTCCAGGGCTGGAGGTGCCTGGCAGAGCCCACAGTCCGCCTGCCTTCCGAAGGCCAGCGGGGCTTCTTGTTGAGTGTCTGCTCTGGCCAGTCACCCTTGGGAGCGCTCCTAATCCGACCCTCCCCTCTTTCTCCCATCCCTGCCTCCTCTCGTACACGGTAGTATCCACGGGAGCATGGACATGCTGTCCCCACATGTGTGCGTCCTGTCACCATGATGCCAAGGCTCACGGTATCAGGTGTGGCAGGGCCTGAGACCACACCAGACCCGTGTATCCTCTGAGCTTGGTGGAGGGGCTGGCCTGCCATCAGCCATGCAGGCACTGGCGATGTGTCGTGACCCTCCCGTCCATGGCCCCAACATCGCATGAAGGATCTCACACCAGCAAGGTGGAGTGAGCGATGGTGATGACTCTGTCCTTGAAACAGAGATCACTCCTCTGGAGGCCGCAGGAACTTGCCCCACTACCTCTGGAGCAGGTGCAGGGGTGAGCGACCGCCCAGCAGAACCTCCTCCCCACGCCAGGAGGCCCTTCGAGTCACATGGCAGGCTCGAGAACTGGGGACGAGGCACCAAGTCCCTGAGTCCCGATTCTCTTTTCGTGAAATGGGAGCTGCTTCTGCCCCGTCCGTCTCACAGAGAGCTTGTCAGAGCCCAGGAAGAAAGCGCCTTTGGGAGGGTTCTGCAGGCTGGGCGCTACTCCTGGCTTTGGCACGGCTTTACCTTACCGAGAGCCCGCAGGGCACAGGAGCCAAACCCCACAGGCACCTAATGGTGGCTCCTAGCCCCCCCAGGACTCCCCCACCCCCCGTCCCGTCCGGTGGGTCCCCACCACGCACCTTGAGGGACAGAGAAGGGAGGGCAGGCCCAGGGGCGGGTCACCCAATGCCATCTACCCCCTTCCCGGAGATACTAAAGGCCACTTTTCTCACCAAGATTTCGTGGGCCAGGGAGTTGTTCCCCACCCGCCTGCCCGGCTCCTGTTCCCAGGCCCTGGGACACACTCACTGGTACTTCTCCAGGCCTGCGTAGAGGGCGTCCCAGAGGCTCTGCTTGGCCGGAGGGATGACTGTGGTCAGGGCCTTCCAGTACTCGGAGTCTTTGGAATTATCTCGCACGTTCCTCTGCACTCTTGGTGCTTGGGTGTCCCTGGAGGTCGAGAGCACTGGTTCCACTTTCTCCACCTGGCACCACTCGGCTCCCCAAGCAGTGCCACGGAGCCAGCCACGGCCTTCCTGCTTGTCCACCCGTCACCTCCTCACCCAGCTGCCCAAGGTCATTAGATTACGGCAGTCTCCCAGAGTACACAGGCTCATTGCCAAGGGTCCGGACCCTCGTGCCACTGTCACATTCAGGAAGGCGTCCTGGGACTTCTTTTCCCATCCCTTGACCTGCTTGGCTGTATAGCTCATCGCCACGCCCGTTTCCTTCACTGGTACTTCTAGAACAGTCTCAGGTTTCGCCATCTCCTCTCCATCCCTCGATGACTATGACCCTAGTCCAGGATCACCACCTCCCACCTAGACAAGCCTCCCAGGTGTTCTCCCTGCAGCGTCACCCCTGACCCTGCTACCGAAGTGGCATTTCTAAAACGCAAGCTTCATCCTGGCTCCCTGCTGCGTACACTCCTCCTCTGGCTCCAGTCCACCTAGGGGTAAAGCCAGAGACAGCGGGCACCTGGGCCTGGCTGTCCACGTCTCGCCTGCGCCCCGCCCAACCTCCCAGACCCTTGATGCTGCAGCCGTGCCACCCTGTCATGGCTCTGAAGTACCCCTTCCCCACTTTACCCAGCTGGGGACATCCAGTTCTCGTGCCACCTGCTCCCAAAACCCTCTCTGACATGCCAAATGGAGATGACCTCTGAACACGTACAACCTGGCTATGCTTTGACCCTTGTTCTGATCATAAGGCTTTCCCCCATGGTGTCTATTCATGGTAGATCTTGACAAATGTTTTCGTGGGCGCCAGCAGATGGCGAAGCGGTTACAACGCTGGACTCTGACATGGAGGACTGCAGTTTGAGTCTCAGACCCAGAGGCTTAAGATAGGCCAGGTGGGGCCCCGCAGTTAGCGTAATGGCTATGGATAGGCCAGGTGGGGACCAGCAGTTAGCGTAATGGCTATGTCGCTGGACTCCCACGTAGTCGACCGCGGTTCGCGTCCCGGACCCGGAGGCTTAAAACTCACGCCGGGCGCGTGTGCGTGCGTGCCCAAGATCCCGAGAGGAGAATGGAGGAGAAGGGATTGCGGCGTGGCCATCCCCCCTGGGGGGTGATTTCTCACTTTCTGTCTCTCTCTGTCTGTCTGGCGAGCGCACGTGCCCTATAGCAAAAACCTCTCCAAAAAAAAGATAGGCCAGGTGTGTGTGCACGCGTGGCCCAGATCCTGGGAACACAGTGGAGGAGAAGGGATTGTGGCCATCCCCCTGGGAGGTGATTTCTCACTTTCCCTCTCACTATCTATCACTCCAGCAAGCACACGTGCCTTAAGGTAAAAACATCCTTTTAAAAAATGAGGGGGGAGGGGAAGGTTATTGAATGAATGAATGATGAATTTAAGAAGCACAAATCACTAATACACCCATTTCTTCCATGTACACGACCAAGGACCCCTCTCTCTCTAGCCTTCCTTGAGGAATGAATGCACTTCCTTACTCCCCAAGTTCGGGATCAGCAGCCCGCTCACACACAAACCCCTGCTGGGCTCCCCAGCCTCCCCCTTCCCCACTGTCCTCCCCAGGCTCAAGCAAGCCCTCTGCACCACAGCCCACCTGGGCTTCTTCAGCCCCGAGACAAAGGCCTCCAGGATCTTGAGGACATCGTTGGGGTGGATGAGCCAGGGGGAAGGCAGGGTCTCCTCTCCCTGTTCCTCCTCCACCAGGCTCTCCTTCGGTTCCTCCAGCCTCTCCTCTGACCCCTCTGCTGGCTCCAGCACAGAGGCCAAGCTCGTTTGCTCCACGCTTGCCTGGTTTCAGGGGTAGGG